GCAACAGGAGATGCGCTTATCGTCAGCTTGTTTCGGTCAGTTGTGCAGTATGCATATAGATCAATAATCGTTTCCGCGCTACTCCTCTGCAACTACTGGCAGGAATTCAACGAAACTTTATTGGAACCTTAAATACCAAGAGGAGAGGTGCATATCGTCCCCTTGTTCCGGACAGACACTTCAACTCAGAGTTATGACCCTTGGTTAATTTTGAAATATGCATGTAGAGCAATAATCATTTCCGCGCTTCTTCACTGCAACTACTGGCTAGAATTCAACGAAACCTTACGGGGATCATCAATATCAAGAGGAGATGCGCATATCGTCGGCTTATTCTGGTAAGACCTTTTAACTCAGAGTGATGGCCCTTGATTAGTTATGCAGTATGCATATAGAGCAATAATCATGTCCGCGCTTCTTCTCTGCAACTACTGGCTGGAATTCAACGAAACTTTATGGGAACCTTCAATACCAAGAGGAGATTCGCATATCATCGCCTTGCTTCGGTCAGACACTTTAACTCAGAGTTATGGCCCTTGATTGGTTATGCAGTATGCATATAGGGCAAACTTTATGTAACCTTCAATACCAAGAGGTGATGCGCATATCGTTGCCTTGTTCCGGTCAGACACTAACTCAGAGTTATGGCCCTTGATTAGTTATGCAGTATGCATATAGAGCAATAATTGTTTCCACGCTACTACTCTGCAACTACTGGGTGGAATTCAATAAAACTTGATGGGAACCATTAATACCAAGATAAAATGTGCATAGTTTGTTGCCTTGTTCAGACCAGACCCTTCATTACAGAGTTATGGCCCTTGATTAGTTATGTAGTATGCATATTGAGCAATATTGCTATTTCTTTGCAACTGCTATATTAATTTCAACAAAACTTTATGGGAACCATAGATACAAAAAGGCAATTTACATCTCATTGCCATGTCCAGATATTACTTTTTAACACCGAGTTAATTAAGGCTTTACTATTGCCCTGAATATTTATTAAGTACAAAGACTATTACTGTTTACGCCATGATAAATATATAAATAAAGCCTTGTGTCTTCAGTTGTTGTGTTAGTAATAACCAGTACTCGGCGGGGGATATAAATTCAACGAATTTGCTTGTTTAGAATAATGGTTTTCTTCAGGCTATTACCTTATAACTTATTACCCCGTGGTCGAGGGGTTACACGCTCGTTTAGGAAGCGAAAGGTCTGGAGTTCAAATCCCAGTTAAGGCAACTGTTTTTATTTATTTATTTAATTGTTTAAGCCAAATAAACATTGACTTGAATATCAGTGTTGCAATTAGTTTTAGAGCTAATTTACTACAGTTATAACACTGGAAACAGCATTAGTGGCACTATAGAAACACAAATTGGTTTATAATCTCACAACCTTCACCTGTCTGACATTCAGAGACCCAAACAAATTCAGCGCCTTCTGTGCTTTGATTAGTATACGTGACTAAGGGTGCAATGTAAAGCTATCTGTAATGACTGCCCCCGTAACTGCCGTTAATGTCAATTTAAATAGCACTTGTACGTGGAAAGCCAATCGAAACACCCTCGACTATTATCTATAATAACCTCGGAAACAATACGGAGTGAAAGTAGTTCTACCGCGTGGTTTCAGATGTAAACACAAACTAAGAGTAATGTAAAACGGATGTATGTATTTGACATTCATAGGAAAATAAAAACTGTTTCGGTACAAATATGACTGAAAAAATCTCTGACAACCATTTTTAGCTCACCTGTCACAAAGTGACATGCTGAGCTTTTGTGATCACTTTTTGTCCGGCGTCCGTCCGTCCGTCGTCCGTAAACTTTTACTTTAAACGACATCTCCTCATAAACCGCTGAGCCAAACTTCACAGGAATGGTCCTTTGGTGGTCACCTTTAAAAATTGTTCAAAGAATTTAATTCCATGCAGAACTCTGGTTGCCATGGCAACCAAAAGAAAAAACTTAAAATATCTTCTTTTAAAAACCCCAAAGAGGTAGAGCTAAGATATTTGGTATGAAACATCTTCTGGTGAGTGTCTATCAAGTTTGTTCAAATAAAAGCCCTGGGGTCAAAATTGGCCCCGCTCCAGTGGGTCATTGCTTTTCCTTATATGTATATAGTAAAAATTTAAAAAATCTTCTTTTAAAAAAACCAAAAGAGCTAGAGCTCAAATATTAACCATGAAACATTGTCTGATGGGTGTCTACCAAGTTGGTTAAAAAAAGCCCCTGGGTTAAAAATAGCCCCGCCCCAAGGTACCTATATACAGGTGAGCGATTTCAGGGCCATCATGGCCCTCTTGTTAATTTAAATATGCCATTTTAAACAAATCCGACTAAATGTCAAGAGATTGGCATTTGTACTTTCGGTTTCTACAACCGTAATAGTAAATACACTCAGCAAAAAAAGAAACCTGACTGTGTATATTTCATTATTATTTTCACGAAATCGATGACGGAAATGTAAAAACGAATGTTGGGCATGAAAATGAGATGCATGCACAGCATTGATATGCATTTTGTTGTTTATTAATTATGTTTAAGTTTGTTAAATTACGCTAGTTCTTAGGAAAGGGTCAAATTCAATTTATCAATTTCGAGGCTATAACGTTTTGACTACGTGAAGGTTTTAATCATTTCATTAACAGTTTTAAAATGCAATATCCGGTTGTGGCCGCCTCTGGCTTTAAGTACTGCGTATAGAATTGACGAAATGTTGAACAAGGTTATTTGGAAGATTGTTCCATTCCGCTATCAATGCATTTGTCAGTTGGAGGATATTCTGTGGGGCGTGATGTCGTCAGACATTTCTGCCAAACACATCCCAGATATGCTCTATCTGATTAATATCTGGAGACACTGCTGGCCATTGCATGGTATTGTAGTTTGCTGCATCTAAGCGAGCGCGAGTTATCCTCGCCGTGTGAGGACGGGCGTTGTCTTGTTGAAACACAACGGGACCGTTTCTTTGCATAAACGGAATAGCCTCGCCATTCAAGACTTCGTTTATGTATCTCTGGGCGTTTAAGTTGCCGTGTATAACAATAAGCCAGGTCTTTTGTCCACCCATTATCCCGCCCCATACCATGAAGCTTCCACCACCTAAACGATCATGCTGTCTAACACAGACAAGTGCAAACCTTTGGCCCTTTCGATGGTAAATTCTTACACGGCCTTTGGCGTGACTGAGATTGTAACGAGACTCGTCTGAAAACAGGACAGTATTCCAGTCACGTCGCCGCCAGTGACGGTGCGCACTTGCCCACCTAATACGAGCCTGACGATGGCGTAAAGTGAGAATACCACCTGTATATGAGCGTCGCGTTCTAACCGGGCGTTGTTGTGTGCGCAACCGATTGCGAATGGTTGGTGCATTTACGTTAAACGCGAGCGCGGTCAAGGTCGCCGGTCTGAACCTGTCACGTAAGTGAGTTAAAACAATTGCACGGTCGTCCCTTTGGGAAGTTGCCCTTGGCCTACCTGGCCTTGGACAATCGTGCACATCACCTGTTAGTCTATAGCGTCTTACAAGTTCATGAACTGCGTTGCCACTGCAGTTAAACGTTCTACTCTCGTCAACAACAGATGCCCCGCCCAGCAGCTTTCCTATTGCTTGATTTCTCTCTGCTTCTGATAAACATGGCATTGTGAAAACTATCAACTTTAGGTGTGAATAACACTAAATTGTTACTGAACACACATCACTGTCTATCTGACATCGTTCAGCGTGCACGGGGTTCACGTCCAAAAACTAAAATTTTACGCTTAGCTGCATTCTACTGACAATACGCGGTCAAAACAAAACAAAAAAAAAACATGTATAGTGTATCTATATTATTGTCCAACAACATTGACCTGGCACTCTTGCATATGACCCTGTAGTCGGTATATTCCGTGAACGTGATATACTTGTAAATCGATATGAATGTAAATATCAATTTCGTTAAAATGGTAAATATTTAAAATCCTTCTTAGCGTATTTGGTAAAGGAGCTTCACTTGAAGAATGTAGACGTTAACTGGTAGGTTCGAGTCCTTTATCAGGGATTTCATTTTTCTTTTTTATTCTAATTTTAAAATTGCCATTCTCTTTAAACTATTGCAACTCTTTTGTTGTGTATAAGTGTGTCTGTGCGTGCGTGGATACGTGTGTAGTAATTTCAATTAATAAATACCTTTATATGCGCTAAAGGATATACGACTGCATAATAACACAAAGAATACCGTTGAAAGATACTGTATTTAAAAAAAAATTAATTGTGTGTGTAGTAAAACGGTTTCAAATTAATTCTTGCAAGTTGATTTAAAAAAATCATAATATGGTGTTAGTAAGGAATCGAACCAGAGATATTCAGATCGGTAGTCCGACATCTTTACCACACATCACTGACGAGTAAAGTTAGCAAATATATCGATATACTCGTTAGATATTGGTCAGTGTTTATTCAAATGACCTTTACGAAAGTTAATGAAGTGCCAGGTCAATGTTGTTGGACAATACATGAATACTCATTTCACATGTTTTGATTTAAATCACAAATTAGAAAATATTTAAAAGAAATAAAGTGTCAGGTTTCTATTTTTGTTGAGTATATATAAATAATGATTGTTTGCTTTTGTATGTACATGTATGAATTTACTTATTAAAGGTGGTATTTTACTTGATATTTTTTAAATAAACTTGCCAACAATTCCCAGCACAAATTACTATTTGTTTACATGTTTAGTTTCTTAGCGTAGGTTCGACCGAAATACCGCATCCGTTCTGTATATTCATACTATTGTGTTAGAGGTCCTTATCCGAAGACTGACGGAAAGGGCCGAAAAGTTGCGATTGCATGGAAAGCATGAAAAAATGGTTTCTTTACAAAGAAAACTTTTTGTGCTAGAATATCGCTCGGACTTAATTAAATATCTCGTCTTTAAATAATTCCTCGTGCTTTTTCAGTTGTTAACAATAGATTTAACTTTACTTCTTTTATTTTTTAAGACAATGCATGCGGTGGAGTACCAAACACGGCGATCACATCTAAAAGGTCATCCAAAACTAGCATACCAACTAGCAAACAAACATTAACCAGTGCGAAACCGGTAAAGTCAAGTGCAAAACCAGCGACGTCAAGGACGTCAAGTGCGAAACCAGTGTCGTCAAGTGCGAAACCAGTGACGTCAAGTGCGAAACCAGTGACGCCAAGGACGTCAAATGCGAAACCAGTGACGCCAAGTGCGAAACCAATAACATCAAGCCAAGTGACATTTAGTAAAACAAAGTCTGTCAGCACGACAAAACCGGTGACAACGACAGGTAAAATATATATGCAAGATATATAAATTGTACATGTGTTTACTATTTCATTTGATCAACAAAAACGACACCTTTAGTCGAAATAAATCTTAATAATGATTTTAACAGTATTCTTAAGAGTAACTTGTATTATTTTGTATGATCAAAGTTAGATTGTTTAGTTATTTTTGTTTAGAATTCAGCTTTTAATAGACTGTGCAACAGGAAAAATATGGTCATGTCTAAGATAGAGCTGGAATCTACCCCCGGACTAAAACCGTAACCGTTTTACCACATCAATGACCAGACAGATAGAAATAATAAAAAACAAAATTGCATTTGTGAAAAATTCTATGCCACCGGATTAATACAACACTAAATAGTAATGTAGAAACAATATTTTTGTTTCTATACAATTGAAGATTGCCGTAATGCATAGATCACTGACCTATCTAATTGTTATTATCAGATTAGTACCTTCAGACAAGAAGAATTTTAATTTTTTGCTTTATGACATAGTGACTGAAAATCAATGACCACGGGGCGGGGCCAGTTTTGACCCCAGGGCTATAATTTGAACAATCTTGATAGAGGTTCACTACACAATGTTTCATGCAAAATATCTAGCCTCTAGCCTTTGTCAATTACAGAAGATGATTTTTTTAAAGTTTTTACTATATACATGTAAGGAAAACCTATGACCCCCAGGGCGGGGCTAATTTTGACACTAGAGGCAAAATTTTAACAACTTTGGTAAAGTACCTATAGATGATATCATATACCAAATATCAAAGCTCTAAGCCCAAGAAGGTATTTTAAGTTTTTACTATATGTACATATAGTGAAAATCAATGACCCCCGGGTCGGGGCCAATTTTGACCCCAGGGCTATAATTTGAACAATCTTGGTACAGGTCTACCCGACAATGCCTTACGCAAAATATCTATGCTCTAGGCCCTGTGGGTCTTTACAAGAATTTTTTTTTAATTTATTCTTATAATTCCTTTTGGTTGCCATGGCAACCAGATTTCTGCATGGAATGAAATTCTTTGAACAACTTTGGAAGCCCTTCACCCAAGAATCAATCCTGCCAAGTTTGGTTGAAATTGGACAAGTGGTTTTTCATAAGAAGATTTTTTAAGTTCACTATATAATCTTTATAACACACATACAAAAACACGCACACGCACACGCACACGCACACGCACACACACACACACACACACAGGTGAATCGCTATATGCCACCGCATCACAGATGCTGCGGTGGCATAAAAAAAACAAAGCTTGGTATGAAATACTAGTTAATGATCAACACTCTGCATTGAGTAATGTTTGGCTAAAACATAATAGATAGTTATTGCACTCCTCTGTGAATTAATGAAACAACGACATCTCAGAGACGTTATGTATTTATCAAACTTGATACAAAATTCAATATGTAATAGACAATATCAACTTTTTAGCCGCGTTTTCCATGCTATGTTACACTAAAAGTGCCATTTTTGCCTTCTTGTTACCACAATAGTTTGATTTCTTTAAACAATAAAATTGTGTGTATTGCATACACTCCTACTAAACGGTAACAATTTAGTTATTTGTATAAATGTGAGCCGTCGACACTTCCGTCACCAAAACAAAACTGAAAGGATAGACGTACAGTTTCTAAAGTATGTATACATTTTCAAAAATTCTACTTGTTTTCAAAACTCGAAGATACTATGCCAAATAAAACATTTTTCTTATCATATCATTTTGGATGCAATTTCGATACGAAATACCAAAATGACGTTGCTAGAACTTATATCCAATATTAACTTGTGTGTTTTCTTTTATATAAGTAAATGTCTGCATGAAACATGATCCTACCCACACCCCTTTGGCTCAACACAAAAGGAATATTTCACAGAACTTGGTTAAAATAAAATATTAACATTTTTGGCGCTTTCACTTTGCAGATGGCGCCATCCTCTTGTCGATGGCTCGATCACATTTGAATGAATGTTAATATTTTATCTTTAACCAAGCTTTTTAACCTATATATTTAGCCAAAGGTGTTACATGTACAATTTAGTGGGTCAACATGAACTTTGTGGTAGAGAAATCACTCAAGATGTGACCCCTCGTGAAAGAAAACACAATAATTGATATTTGTTAAAAGTCATATTTCGTATCGAAATTACATAAAAAAAATGATGCTTGACATAGCATTCTTAGAATTTTGAAAAACAAGCATGTTTTTTTTTTAAATATGATATGTTTAGAAACTGTGTTTATCTTTTTCAGCTTTGTGTTGGTTGATGGCTCTCATTCAAACAGATCACCAAAATATGAGAGCCAGTGTAGTAGGAGTGATCTATTTAAAGAGAATATTCACAGGCGCTAGTCACATAATCAAATATTTTACATAATCGGCCTATATATGTATATGAAGATATATCTTATTATAGTATATAGCCCATAATGAACATAAAAAAGTTTGTTTCAAGCACCTGTGAGAATATTGTTTTATATTTTGACAGCCGGAAGTTCCTCAGTGGCGCCATCTATGTGGTTGATTACCTTAGTATCAGCAGCGGTTTACCAGTACATGAAACAACATTAGAATAACAACTTGGCGGCAAAAAGAAAAACATTAACATTTTATACAGGTTGATTTCCAAGTCATCATAGATTTTCATTCTCTGTTTCATACGCCTTTTCGTTTACAAGTCGAAAGATGAGAAAAACAAATATATTATTTGTCAATCTTATCAAGATAATGCGCCGCCATATTTCTTTATTTTAATACATTTTCTTCTCTTTTTTTTCCTTTGATATTTTATTGAAATGTCAATTCAAAGAAAAGACTTAACACTAAGGATTAATAAGGTATTGTGCAGCAAACGTAGCAGGAATTTGACAAGCTATATATTGAATGCTTAGTAAAAAGTGATATAAATCTTACAGCTTTCTTCCAGATATAAAATAAAATAATTGCCACAGAAACACTCTTCATACTTTGTACATAAAGGGGTCGCCACAGTTCTAGGTACGGAGATATCAAACTAGTAAATTTCAATGATGTATCTAGTAAATAAAGCGTTCCCGTATCGTCCCAATATATACATTTATTACAATGACAGAAATTAGAGAAAAAAATAACTTTTCTTTTAAATTTGATTCCTATTTTATAAAATAAAATGATAAAAATATGTTGTTCGGTTGAGTGCCCAATGACTGACCCATATTCACCATTGTATAAACCTTTCACAGATTGTTATGGAACGCCTGGACTGTCTTATGTGTAGAATGACTGATATACATGGTTAAATGTGATTCTGTTGAGTCCGAGATACAATATGCTGTGTCAAAATCCCAATATACTGGGTGGAAATCCAAATGCGCTCAGTTATTGAAGTGTAATGTTGTGTGCTGATTACATTTTTATTCAGTCAAGTCAATGTATTGTCGGGTGCATAAGTCGTTATGTTCAGTTCTTAAAACAAACAGGCATGTGGTAACACAATTATGTTGAGTTAAAAAATATGTTGTAGGGTATGACAGTTGTTATGTTCGGTTAAATAGCTCTTCTCATCATGTTCAACCATGAAAATAAACTGTTAAGTGGTACTATCATTTCGTTTGGCTGAGGCAGTGTATTATTGGGTGATCCTTTTATCATTTTCAGTTGAAATGACATGCTGTTGGGTGCTTTATTCAGACTGTTCAGTCGTGAAATAGAACTGTTGAATAGTACTATCATTATGTTCAGTTCAGATGATATACTGTTCGGTGCAGGAGTCATTCTGTTAAGTAGTGAACACAAAATGTTGTGTGATACCGTTATTATGTTCAGTTCAGATGATATACTGTTCGGTGCAGAAGTCATTATGTTCAGTTCAGATGATATACTGTTCGGTGCAGAAGTCATTATGTTCAGTTCAGATAATATACTGTTCGGTGCAGAAGTCATTATGTTCAGTAGTGAACACAAACTGTTGTGTGATACCGTCATTATGTTCAGTTCAGATTATATCCTGTTTGGTGCAGAGGTCATTATGTTCAGTAGTGAACACAAACTGTGGTGTGATACCGTCATTATGTTCAGTTCAGATGATATTCTGTTCGGTGCAGAGGCCATTATGTTCAGTAGTGAACACAAACTGTGGTGTGATACCGTCATTATGTTCAGTTCAGATGATATTCTGTTCGGTGCAGAAGTCATTATGGTCAGTAGTGAAACACAAACTGTGGTGTGATACCGTCATTATGTTCAGTTCAGATGATATTCTGTTCGGTGCAAAAGTCATTATGGTCAGTAGTGAACACAAACTGTGGTGTGATACCGTCATTATGTTCAGTTCAGATGATATCCTGTTTGGTGCAGAGGTCATTATGTTCAGTAGTGAACACAAACTGTGGTGTGATACCGTCATTATGTTCAGTTCAGATGATATTCTGTTCGGTGCAGAAGTCATTATGTTCAGTAGTGAACACAAAACTGTGGTGTGATACCGTCATTATGTTCAGTTCAGATGATATACTGTTCGGTGCACAAGTCATTTGACAATGCGCTGAGTGGTCATACAATTATGTTGGGTTCATTCGGATTTCTTCGCGTCAAACAAGATGGCGGGCGTTAGCAACTAATTTCCATAGGTCACGTCGAGGCTAATGACCACTAAATTGCCAAAACAATTACCTATTTGAGTCACACATGGCCACAGTATAAAGAACGTTAAATATAAGTATAGAAACCCCATTTGAGACACACATGACCACAGTAAATGGAACATTATATTTAAGTAAGTGTAGCCTAATAAGGTCAAACATGGCCAAAGTATAAAGACAATTCTATATAAGTAAGTGAAACCTAATTGAGTCACACATAACCACAATATATTAGACATAATGTTTAAGTCAGGGAAATGTATTTGAGTCTAATTTTATTAGGCTACCCTTACTTATGTATAATGTTCCATATACTTTAGTTGTGCGTGACTCAAAAAGGTTTCCCTTACTTAAACATAATGTTCAATATATTTTGGCCTAGTGTGACTCAATTAGGTTTCCCTTACTTATCTAGAATGTTCTTCATAATGTGGGTATGTGTGACTTTATTGCGCTACCTTTACTTATATTTAATGTTCCATATACTGTGGCCATGTGTGACTCAAATAGGTTTCCCTTACTTAAATATTATGTTCCATTTATTGTGGTTATGTGTGACTCAAATGGTTACCAACAAAAACATTTTAAGTTGTATATGCTGTGGCCATATGTGACTTTAATAGGCTACCCTTACTTATATGCTCCATATACTGTGGCCATGTGTGACTCAAATAGGGTTCCCTTACTTGAATATGATGTTTTATATTTTAAATTTCGTTTGCTGTGTCCATTTGTGACTCTTATAGGTTACCAAACAGATAAAATTTAAGTTTTATTTACGGTGGTCATGTGTGACTTTAACAGGCTACCCTTACCCATAATCTAAGTTTTATATATACTGTACCCATTATGACTGTAACAGTATAGTATAGTCATGAATTAACTAATAAATACCCACAGGGTATTTAAAAGTCCAATTTATGAAAATAACGTTCTTAAGCCCCCCGATAATATTTACAGGGAAGAAAATTGTTTTGGCAATTTAGTGGTCATTAGCCTCGACGTGACCTCTCCCATCTTGTTGCCCGAAAATATCCCGAATGAAACCCAACATAATGGTTGTATCACACAAACAGTTTGTGTTCACTATTGAACATAATGACCTCTGCACCGAACAGTATATCATCTGAACATAATGATATATATAGTACCAAAAACCACTGAACATAACGACCTTTGCACCGAACAACACATTGACTTGACTGAAGAAGATATAATCAGCACACAAGATAATGATAGTACCATTTAAGATAATAATTGTACCATTTAACAGTTCTATTTCACGACTAAACAGAAGGAATAAAGCACCCAACAGCATGTCATTGCAACTGAAAATAATAAAAGTATCACCCAATAATACACTGCCTCAACCAAACAAAATGATAGTACCACTCAACTGTTTATTTTCATGGTTGAACATGATCAGTGTGGCCATACCACGTGACATTGACGTCATTTTCGGCATCATTTCCAAGACAAATTTCGCTCGATTCGGAAAAGAAAATAGCCGTAAATATTTTATTTCTGTACCAATTTCTTTGGGATATGCACCAGTCTACGGGAAAAAATATAAGCTTTCCACAGAATATTGGATCTTCGTCAGTTTATAAGCCGTTTTATCAAACACTTTGCATAACCTTGGAAGTTGCTTGTATTAGAGCGGGCTTCGGTTGCAAGCTATTTCGTTTTCTGGCGCTATCTGGTCTACGTCATGATTAAAAAGTCAGGTTTACATCAACCGGGAGTACGGAAGGCAAAAACTCTACCTAAATATGGTCATATTTTTTATTATGAATGACATAAATCTTAAATTTTTCTTCAATTGTCAATTCTGGCACCAGTTCCAAGTCGAAAAAATAGGACTACAGTTTAAAGCAGATTTTAGAATCCGTTCCAAATGCAAAGCAACATGCCTACCGTTCTCTTTCTATAATTATGTTAACCATGAAAAACATTTTATTTACTATACGATTTACATAAACACAAATGAATATCTAAATAATTTTTTCTCGCTGCGCTATAAGTGATTTTAAAAGTCGTAAACTTGTTGTCTGTATTTGTAAAGAAATTGATTTGCTCTTTAATCATTGTTCTTTCACGGTAGTGATTATGAAAAATCTATTTGTGTCATGTAGCAATATTAAAGTGGAATTAAAAACAGAAACCCTAAATATTGCCCAAAACGGCAAAATTGAAAATGTTGCAGGCTCGGATTGACTTAGCTAGCCTGTCCAATGAACGTGCACATTCAGGACCACTTCGATTTGTATGCTGTGAAAAGGGTTACGCCTCAACGCGGCAATTTTAAAGTCAAAAGTTTTTCTTTTGTAAAGAGTTATTTATACGTATAACCACACATATATATAAAGAACCTGTAGCAATGTTTTGGTATGATAGATTCAGCTTTGTAACACAGTGGCACTCGTTGATAAAAAATATTTTTACATCCTGTTTTCATACCCACGGTAACCGTTTTTCGTGAACTGGATATAACTTCGTTCACTTATAAACACTATTAAACACACTTTTAAACACTATCTATTTTGTAATTGCATTTATTTCTGTTGATAAACTGCATATCTGACAAATTTAGTTAATTATATCAGTCAACTCAGCTTTATCAGAGAGCTCACCAATATACATTGTAAAGAGAGGAAGGGAACGGAATATTTATGGTTTGAAAACATTTAAATCGAGGAGAACTTTTTAACAATAATGTCTCTTTCAACTGAATAAAAACGATAGGGCTATTTGGGACTATTTCTTATCGATGTAGTCATTGGCTGTAAATGCATGGATTATTGCACACGGCATGACCTGCAGATGTCCTCAACAGGCTTTTTGTGGCATTTTAAGATTTAAAAAAGGACCACACATTAAAATCTAAAAAATGACAATCATGACGCATATACTAAATAAGTGAATTATCAAATATGTAAATAAAGAAGTAAGTCATTTGACAGTTGAAGGATAAAAATTG